GTTAAGGGTATAATAGAGCCAGATCCCTCAAAAACAATGACTTCTATTAGAAAAGCTATTTAGGCCTATACTGATGAAAATTCAGATTCAGTTGATTCAACTAAAATCTCATCTAAAAATACATATTCTGAGGATAACCAGCATTTGGTTGATATAACCCTAATTGCTGTGGTCCAACCTCCTCCGAAACTAGTTGTGGAAGATCCTAAAGATAATCAAGACTTTATGGAAGATAATTCTACTAGACCAAATGCTCATAGTTCTAGATCATCCTTTAGACTATGGTTTACTTTTAATAATCTACATCTGCATAAATAAAAGGAAAGACTTTATGAATTTGGTGTATGGATTAACTTATAAAAGACAAGACCAGATGTAACTCTATGAGAAGTAATCATAGAATTTCTCTGAAAAATGATTGGAAATTTGGGAGAATGATTCTAAAATCTTAGTGAGAATCGAAAAATTCAAGCCCACAACTTCTTGATGCAACGTATTTTCTTAGGATGATTCATAAGGAATTCTTCAGAGATTTCAATCTTATCGATAAATAGAATAGACAAGAGTAAAATGAAGTATTGCTCTCCAGATCAAAAAGATCTACAAAAGCATTTTCAATGAATGTCTGCCAAATATTACATGCTTAATGGTGCTAATTATGTTAATCTCCAGCATACGTTCATCACTTCATTACAAGATGAACTACAACTAGACCTATACAGAGCCATCAATGCTCTTCTGAGAGATATGTCTTAAATCTCTCCATAAGAAATTCATCAATAAGCTCTTACTACCCTAGATAAACTTTATAAATTATATAAGTTCTTTAAGTCCATACTTAAAGGAAATTAAAAGTTACAATCTGCCTACTGAAAGCCATATGTGAAAATCAAATGCAATGACTATGATCATTGTTTTTGCAAGAAGAAAAATTATTTTGATAAATATAGGTGTGAATTCTTCAGCAAAAAGAAGAAGGCTCATATGCATTACTTTACAAGAAGAAACTCCAAGTTGAAAAAAACTATATAGGTGTTTTCTGTATGGACAGAAAGGGTATTCTACTAAATGGTGTCCAAATAAATCTAAGGACATAAAACTGCTCCATTCTTTTGAAATTGTTGTTCGTCTTAATGATGATCAATATACTGAATCTGCTCTTGAAGAATGGTCTAAAAGAGATGAAGACATGCAGTATGTTATTCCTATATTAGAAGAAAGCTTTGAATCTTAATGGGAATAGTATCCACCACTCTCCACTATTGGCTCCCTCTCTAGACCAATAAGCTCCTATATTCCACTTTCTAATGGGCTAATAAATCTTTGTAGTTAAAAGTTTCATTATGTTGAGCCTCCTCAGCCCAACAAAAAAGTTCAAATCTTATCTAGTAGATATGATAAGTCCATTGCAACTATTGCTTTCATTGACACTAGTTCTTGTAGAAGTGTCATGAAACCTCATATACTTCCTAAGGAAGAATGAGTCCTATATGAAGAATATTATGCTACAACTAATGGAAAGCCTTTTAGAATAGATTTTATTACCAAAAGAAAAATTAGTATAAGATTTTTCCTCCAATATGTTGTATGGACTAAACTCATGGGTAGTGATCTACCCACTAAAGACATCCTTGTTAGTTTTATGTTTATTAATAAACAAGGAACCTACAAATACTTCCTAAGAGAATAAAATTTAAACAGTTCTTCGACAAAATACATTGATTTCGTGAGCATCCTAGAGATTCAACATGCCCCGCCCAGTTATGAACAATTCAAACGACACATGAATTTTATGTCTAAATATTATAACATACTAATAAAAATTTCATTTAGAGAAACTTAATTGTTTAGCATATATAGTTTTGACTTAGTTGAGCTAGAATAGCTAGTTGAAAGAGTGATTTTCTATATCTTCTTAGGAGAAATTTAAGGCATGTTTGTTTAAGCTTTTGTTTTTATATGAAAAAAACACTTTTTTTTTAAGAAAATTTATTTTGTGAAATTTTATTATATGCATTTAAATTTTTAAAATAATTAGATAGTAAAATAAAAAAAACTCCGATTAGTAAGGGGATATTTTTTTAGAAATAAATTCACGAGATTCAATATTTCTCAAAGTTTTAAATTTAAGCTTTATAAATGGAAAAAAGTAAGTCGCGTTTCGAAAATGATCCTTACACTGACTTTCATATAATTCATTAAGAATAGTTGGGCAACGTATTCATCACTTTATTTCTTTATTTTTTTGCGTAAAAAATGACTCTATTTTTTTTTTCCTTCCAACTCCGTAACTCTGAATTTGAAACTTTTGTTTTTATGATATAAAGTCAAATTTATGTCAAATCATTTCTCCACGGTTTGAAAGAAAATCACGCATCATCAGTGTTTACAACTTGTAAACAAATCACATTTTTCATAAGTTATTTACTAATAAATTACTAATCTGACTTATCTTTCAAACTTCAGTTCAAACGACACATCAATTTTATGTCTGAATGTTATAACATACTAATAAAAATTTTATTTAGAGAAACTTAATTATTTAGCACATATAGTTTGACTTAGTTGAATCAATTAAGCAAGACAAAGTAGCTGAAATAGTGATTTTTCTATATCTTCTTAGGAGAAATTTAAGGCATGTTTGTTTAAGCTTTTGTTTTCATATGAAAAAATCACTGATTTTTTTAAGAAAATTTATTTTGTGAAATTTTATTATATGCATTTAAATTTTTGAAAATAATTAGATACTAAAATAAAAAAACTCCGATTATTAAGGGGCTATTTTGTTAGAAATAAATTCACAAGATTCAATATTTCTCAAAGTTTTAAATTTATGCTTTATAAATGGAAAAAAGAAAGTTGCATTTCGAAAATGATTCTTACACTGACTTTCATATAATTCATTAAGAATAGTTCGGCAACGTATTCATCAGTTTCTTTCTTTATTTTTTTGCGTAAAAAATGACTCTATTTTTTTTTCCTTCCAACTCCGTAACTCTGAATTTGAAACTTTTGTTTTTATGATATAAAGTCAAATTTATGTCAAATCATTTCTCCACGGTTTGAAAGAAAATCACGCATCATCAGTGTATACAACTTGTAAACAACAAATCACATTTTTCATAAGTTATTTACTAATAAATTACTAATCTGACTTATCTTTCAAACTTCAGTTCAAACGACACATCAATTTTATGTCTAAATATTATAACATACTAGTAAAAATTTTATTTAGAGAAACTTAATAATTTACCATATATAACTATTTAACATACAAATCACATGGGTGTTTGTAAAACAAAATGCCTTCGTGTTAATGAAACGTCACCAAAGATTTATTATAATATTAAATTTTATGATGTTCATTAAGCATCATGAAATTAAATTTTTAAACGCCATCAAAGTTGATTTTAAGGTTTAGGCTCACAAGGCTCACCCCATCGTATTTTGTTTTGGAAAGATGCTATAGATATAAAGAATTAGATTATGGGCACAGTAGCTAGGGTGGGCGAATATCTAAAGTTTAAATCTTTCTGTTGTGGACAAAAGCAGCATATATTAATAAAATATTTAATTTTCTTCTTTTCTTATAACGTCCCCGTCCTAGGTATAATTGTTTTTTTAAAAAAATTGAATTACACCGTTTAACAACTTTTGAATTTTCTTTGGTTGAATATCACTCATGATCCAAGCTTTAAAATAAATTGAGATTTATGGGTTTTTTTTATGTCTAATTAAGAGTAAATGAGCACATTACTACTTAAACTTAAATTTAGTAAGACCATAGATCCTAAACAAAATATTTTTTTAACTTTTAGAAACAATGCAATTTAACCATTATTGTTAACAAAAGTTAACTATAACAATTAGTTAACAACAAATGATAGAAAATAATTTCAAAAATTATGGAAAATGACCTAAAAAAATTTGGTCATTTTTTGTCTGTTTTGATCATTTTCTATAATTTTTTAGATCATTTTCTGTCATTTAATGATTAATTGATGGTTAAAATTAATTTTTGTTAAGGCAGGGACCAAGTTGTATCATTTTTAAAAATTAAGAGAATAATTTACATAATAAATGAATTTAGACTTTACGGTGCTACTTGATCTAAAGCTTATGAAGTAATTTACTCATTTATCTATTAATTAATAGTACAAAAGATACAAAAATTTTAAAGTACATGGGATTTCGAGTAAAAATTTGAAGAAAAATTTCAGTTAGGACCCTTCATCCAATTTAATTTCAATCAAACCTCTTAAAATTTTGAAATTCAACTGTACATGTGTGAAACTGAAATAAAATTAAAGAGCTAAATTAAATAATATTATTATTTTTGAAGAAATGAATAACAGATGTATATGAACAACTGACATAAGTGAAATTTGAAATTATTATTATCGATATAATATCATTATGAATATAAATAAATAAAACTAGATACATGAATAACTCATATAAAGAAAATAAAAATGAATAACTAACCTAGGCGGCAAATGAGTTGCAAATTCATGGTGATATTATGCTGTTAATGAAAATTACAAATTTCATCTACGTCAATCATTTATTTTTTATATATTAATTATTTATTTTATCTATATAAATTGTCCATGCGCCTAGCTTCATCAAAGATGATAAAATTATTTTAGTTAGCTCTTCAATTTAATTTTAACTCCTTACGTATGCAGTGAAATCTCATAATTTTAGGAGAGTTAGCTGAAACAAATTAGTTGGGTGTCAATGGGACCTAAATGAAATTTTCCCAAATTCTAAATTCAATGCCACCATTATTATCAAGTCAAATTCGATGGCCTGGCCAGGTGGCCATAGCCTGGGGGCCGTGTGTTGAGTCTTTTTCATATAAAGCGCATCAAAATTGCTCGCAAGCACATGATATAAACATGCATGCCCCTAAACGACAACCACCACCGTTCACCATGCCTATAAAAGGTGGATACTAGGATTCGTTTCAAACGCATCCATATTTTCGATCTCTCTCTCTTGTTTACATAACACTCACTATCTTACCTATCTAGCACCCCCACAAACCCAAAATTATGGCATCCAAAATTCATGCTTCTGCTTTTAGCACCCAAGAGTGTGCCTTCACTAACAGTGGGAAATTAACAGATAGGCCAAGAGTGGCCAAAATCCATGGCTCAGTAAGGGCTCAAGCTCAAGCTGTGGTCACGAGCACTCCTCACAAGACTTTGAGGATCTCCAAGTTGCCTGATGAATTGACCACTTCAGTGATCACGACCAGACATTTCCTCATAGAAACACCTCTTCAAGTCCCTAAGAGCCAACCCATCAATTTACCAGGCAAGTTTGGTAAATTTGGAGGCAAGTTCGTACCTGAAACACTCATTGCTTGTCTCCACCAGCTTGAAGCTGAGTTCACAAAAGCCATTCACGATGATGACTTTCAGGAAGAGCTAGAGGAGGCACTCAGAGACTTCGTTGGGAGAGAGACACCCCTGTATCATGCTCGGAGGTTGACAGAGTTCTACAAGAGCAAAAATGGCGGCCAAGGACCGGAGATTTTCCTCAAGAGAGAGGATCTCTGCCACGGTGGCTCCCACAAGATGAATAACGCTCTTGCTCAGGTCATGATCGCCAAACGCATCGGCCGGAAACTCGTCGTGACAGCCACAGCCTCTGGCGACCACGGGCTCGCTACCGCCTCCGCATGCGCCAAACTGGGATTGGACTGCAAAATCTTCATGGCCACAAAAGACATGGAACGACAACAACCCAATGTTCAGTTGATGAACTTGTTGGGTGCTCAGGTATGTTCTAAGTCTTCATAATTCAACAGACTTGGTTCTTTAAAAATCTCTCACCACGGTCAACTGATTGATGGGTGTACTGTAAAAACAGGTTGAAGGGGTGAACGGGCAGTTTAAAGATGCAGCATCGGAGGCTATCAGGGATTGGGTGGGCAACATGGAAGGAAGCTACCACCTGACGGGGACGGCGGTGGGGCCCCACCCGTGTCCCACCATGGTCCGATACTTTCAGTCGGTGATAGGGAGAGAGACGAGGAGGCAAGCTCTGGAGAAATGGGGAGGTAAACCTGACGCGCTGGTGGCTTGCGTGGGAACAGGGTCCAATGCGCTGGGCTTGTTTCACGAGTTCATCGGAGATGCGGACGTGAGGCTGGTCGGAGTAGAAGCCGGAGGTTTAGGGCTGGAGAGTGGAAGACACGCGTCGACTTTGTCTAAGGGATCCGTGGGTGTTTATCACGGAGCCATGAGCTACCTTCTTCAGGACGAGTATGGCCAGACCATCGAACCACACTCCATTGCGGTGGGGTAAGTTTATAGTACCGCGAAAATAATCATACACTGCAACCTTTTTTCAAACTTTACAAGAGCTATATAATATTATCCAACAGTAGCTAACTTGTTTGTGGTTTGAAATGAGCAGGATGCAGTACCCAGCGGTGGGTCCAGAGCTAAGCCATCTGAAAGAAACAGGGCGTGCGGAGTTCTACTCAGTAACAGACCAAGAAGCTCTTGATGGTGTGTGTGTGTGTGTGTGTGTGTGTGTGTGTGTATTGTTTAATGAATGAGATCTGATACATAATTCGGAATAAAATTAATGGGAAGCTTAATTGGTAACTGTATTGTATCGCAGCATATGAAAGAGTGTGCAGACTGGAAGGGATATGGGCGTCGTTGGAGGCGTCACACGCATTAGGGATATTGGAGAAGCTGATTCCGACTTTAGCAGATGGAGCGAAGGTGGTTGTGAATTGCAGTGCCCGTGGAGACGAAGACGTTGAGACAGTCTACAAACACAGACAGTTTGATGGATCCCTTAAACGTACCACGGCTCTTCAAGCTGAGCTTGACCACCGCAACCAACTCATGCCTGCTTCATCTTGAACATGTGTTTTAGTATGCCTTGTGGGCCCCTTCAATTCATGTAAAGTCACTATGACATCAAATTGATCATCATGCTAAGAAAAAATATATTATTTATCAAAATACTACATCTTGTAAAATAATTACCATGATATATAATACAAATAACAATTCTAATGGATTAATTTCAAGTTTCAAATTCTTTTAAGCCAGACTTTTATGAAATTTGACTCCTATCAAACTAAATTCTACACAGTTATTTAAAATAAATAAATAGCCACTTAAAAAGATGCATGCTTCTCTCTCTCCCATCATCTCACACTATAGCTGCTTTTCTTTAGTTGTTTTCCACATCTTGTAGATAGCCACTTGAAGGGGCTTTTTTTTTTTTAAGAAAAATATAATTAAGTTATGAAAGAAAAAGGACTATGGTGTGTAAAATGGTAGGAGAGCAAGAGGCATGTATACTTTTCAGGTTTTTTTTTTCTTTTAAATAACTCTATAGAACAAGTTCCATACAAGTGATAAAAAAATTTAAAATTTAAAATGTATGGAACTGAGTTATAATTTGTAATATCATGATAAATATTTTATAAAGTGTAGTATATGGTAAAAAAAAAATGTATAGCATGATAATCGATTCGACAACCATCGCCATCCCGGGAGACTCTGTTAATAAAGTTGGGATGAAGTGAAAACTCTCAAATGGTGCCCTACATATTTATCAAACATTAATAATACTATTTTATTGTTTTATCATCTCCATGGAGTGCCACATACCCATCCAAAAAAAATATATATATATTCCTTGTCGACCTTCCTGTTTATAAAGATTCCTCGCCGGAGAGCATTACTTGGATTCCTGACACATCCAGGGGCAGAACTACGTGTTCCGCTTACTTGAATTCCTGACACATCCAGGGACGGAACTACATGTGTGTTTGATTTTTTATTTATTAAAAATTTATTTAATAAAAATCAGTTATAATACGAAATTTATATTTAAATATATTTTTTAAAAAATTAGTTTAATATACTGAAAATTATTTAAATTAATGATGATTTAGGGCCTGTTTGAAAACCTATTTTAAAAATAATTTTTTATTCTTTAGAATAAAAAAATAAAAAAAATTTATTTAGTAACGTGTTTTAAAAAGTATTTTGGATAATAAAAAAAATAAAATATTATTTTGAAAAATAAAAAAATGAAAACAATTTTTAGGTGATCTATAATTATTGTTCTAGAAAATAAGGGAGAATAAGAAACATATCTATTTTTATTTTTTTTTATTCTCAAAACATATTTTACAAAACACCAGTTCTCAAAATAATAAAAAAAAATAATTTCAAACAGTTCCTTATGCTTTTAAAAGGAACTTTTGAATATATAATGACTAAAAATGACATTAATTTATAATTTTGTTACACAAATATAATATATTAAAAATGTTTAAAAACGCGAAAAAAGTTTAAAATAACATAAAATTTAATATGTTAAATAATAAGAATAAAAAATAAAAAGTTTAATCTTGAAAAAATTATATAATAAATAGTTTAACAGTAATTAATATTGAATGACATACCTTATAAATAGGATTAAAAACAATATTCTCTCTATTTTTTTTCATATACAAAAGGTTTAAAAAAATGCCTCCTCATATAATCTATTTAGCCTTACAGCTATTACACTAAATTCAAATTCTAATAAAACAGAGCACACGATAAGTAGTGCAAAGGAATAAAGGCAATATAGTGAATTTAAAAACTTAACACCAAAAAGTCAGTTTGAAAAGCTACACAAAATTAAGTTCTCGAATCCACTCTAATAGCTTTCTCAATATGCATCCAAAATGTCATTTTTCCCAATCATAAAATTTTCAAACATCCTACATCTCAAAAATGCAAAAGCACATCCCAAAAATCAAAAGTTATGTATCCAGATGAGCCCTACGTGTTTCGCTAGCCCACCTTCCCCTTTTTCTTTTTTCCCATGTGAGCAGTGAGGTAATTGCATGAGAGGGAAGGGGGCATAGACATAACACCATGCACAACCAAAATAATCTCCCATATTATACACACACATATACACTAATTATATATATATATATATATATATATTCTCTAGGCTATAATATATGACATTAACACTAGTATAGAAAGGCAGATATGATGATGTTATCTACATCAGTTATCTAACTAGTGTAATTATTAGACAATCTACACTAATTATAAACTTGGTGTAAATAACTTAAATTATGTATATTAATTTTTTTTTAAAAGCATGATATCTACACCGATTCTGGGATTAACCAGTGTAGATGTCATCTACACTAGTTATGGGAATAATTGATGTTGATGAGTTAGACATCTACATCAATTATTCCCATAACCAGTATAGATGATAGAATAACTACACCAATTCTAGGAATAACTAATGTAGATAGTTTACTTTTTTTTAAAAAAAAGTACTCTCATTTTTTTCATTTACCCTAGCCATTATAGGCTGCAATTCAAATCATGCATTAATCAAACATCCAACAACAAGTTAGACAATCATATATTATTCAAATCAAATGAATTTTAAATTATGTACAATTCTAAACACATAAAACATAAATTGTCAACTAAGTAATCCAATCTTGCCTTCACGTCATCCTTGGACTCTCCTAGTATGTCAAGAAGTGTTCCAACAATACTATCATGCACATTCTTCTCCACATACATGACATTAATATAATGTCTCACATTAAGATATCACCAATATGGAGGGTCAAAGAAAATATATCTCTTTTTTCATATATTTTTTACTAATCTTTATAGTTTTATCAAAATTAACATTCATGTCTTTCACCAATTTATAAACCTTCTCCCCTGTCAATGGCTTTGAGGCAATTCCATACTCTTGACCATCATAGAAAGCTTTCCTCATTCTACGATAATGGTGACCCTTCTCAAGAAATATCCTATGGCCAAAATAGACTATCTTCTTTCAATGATGATAGCACGTTCCTACTTCACGAATCGAACATGCTTTTTACCCCTTAACATTGTAGCCAAACAAGTTTTCATATGTAGAGAAGTCATTTATGGTGCAAAAGATTATCGCACATAGCTTGAATACCTCATTCTGATTCACATCGAACACATCCACACCTACTTCCCACAGCTTTTTCAAGTCTTCAATTAAAAATTTTAAATAAACATCAATGTCATTTCTCAGTTATTTCGATCCTGAAATGAACATAGACAATATGATATACTTGCGTTGCATGCACAATATGAGAGATAAGTTGTAAATCACCAATAAAACAGGCCATAAACTATGGATGCTATTAAGGTTATCGTAAGGATTCATATCATTTATACTAAGTCCAAGCTTGAGGTTCCTTGGATCACTGCCAAACTCAAGAAACAAAATGTTAGTTTTCTTCCATTGCTTTGAATCGGCTAGTTGTCAGAGCTTTCCATTTGAAATTCTCTAATCCGTATGTCATCTCAGATTCTTTGCATCTTTTTCATTAGAAAACAATCGTTTAAATCTTGATATAATTGGAAGATACCATAACACTTTTGTAAGAGCTTTATTTTCTTTATACCTTAGTGTCTCACATATCGAACACTTTTACTTCTCTTTATGCTCTTTCCTATATAGTATGCATTTATTTGGGCATGTGTGTATTTTTTTTTAACTCTATGCCCAGTGGGCATAGAATTTTCTTCGCCTCATAGTAACTAACCAGCAACACATTTTCATTCAAAAGAATTAATTTAAATCACTCAAACATTTCTGTGAAACTCTTGTCGCTCCACCCAGATCTAGCTTTCAAGTTCACCAATTCCAACTCTACTTTCAAGAGACTAAATTTCTCACATACCAAATACAAAGGTGTTTTTGCATCACTGCACATATTATTGTGCACTTGGGATTGCTCAAAATCCTTTTTATCCATATCACGGATCATGTCCTCCAATTGATCAACTATATCATTATCATCATCAACAACAATATTAACATCCCGTGACTAAGATGTACTTGGCATTGGCATGTTCAATCTTTCACTATGCTAAATCCATACTCTATAACTTTTGAGAAATTCCTCATAAATTAAGTGTTCGTATATTTTATCTACACTTAGCCGCCTCTCATTCAAATAGTCCCTACAAGGACAAAAAAAATCTCTTACTATCATTTTCAGCATTGTTCCGAGCAAATTCCAAAAACCCCTTTACCCCATTAGCATCCTCTAAGCTCGTTCGTTTGGCATCTATTCAACTATGATCCATGTGTAATTTGTCTTCCTAAAACATGATAGAGTTCATGGATTATTACTAAATCCATCAAGATAAGACCAAACAACGAGTTATATATTAAAAAAATTAGAAATAAACATGCTAACATAATAATTTTTATTTTTTTTAGAATCTTTGTTAGAGCTAGCTTCCCTCCTATCTAATAAGTAGGATATATTTTTTGGCCCTTTTCATATAAAGGAAAGGACAAAACAATAAGTTTTTAAAAAAATTTTGATAAAATTTCCCCTAAAAATTGGATTTTCAATAAATTTACAATCGAAAATATAAAAAAATAATTTTTTTTAAAAAAATAAAGTCGCATGCAATGTCTAATGGCCTCAAATCTCTACCAGTACTCCACTAGCATACAAAAAATAAATTAGTAATACAATCACAATAATTTAATTTACAAGAAATAATAGCATACAAAAATAGTATACACAAACTCATAGTAAAGTGACATAATTAAATGGAAAACTACTCTGTAGTGCATATACAGCTCCTCTGTATGTTAAAAACTTCATCACCACAAAAATTGAAAAAATGTAAAAGCAAAAAGGAAAGAAGCTATAAAATGAACAACCAGATTATTAACATAAAATGACTTTGTTTAGATAAAATTGATGATTTGTACATGCTTAGACGAGTTTAATACAATTAGATTTAGTTCTCAACTCATGATTTCTTTGAGCTATTAACAATTAGTTACTCAGCATGGAAAATGAATATTTATTATAACTAGGGAAATGAAAAGCTAATATGATTTGTTGTGCTTTATACCAAATGTGTTGCCAAAGTCCGTCCATATTTCAGCATTAATAAATTGGTTTCTCTCTGCAATGCCAATGATTTCAAT